CCTGGGCTCAAGTGAGTCTCCAGCCTCAGCCTCCCAAGTAGCTGGGACCACAGGCGCCCGCCACAACGCCTGGCCATTTTTTGGTTGCAGCCATCATTGTCGTTTGGCGGGCCTGGGCTGGGGATTCGAACCCGCCACCTTAGGTGTATGTGGCTGGCGCCTTAGCCGCTTGAACCACAGGCACCAAGCCTGCTCTTAGGATTAAATGACACTACAAAGAAAATCAGGCAAATCCAAATACTGACATTCTATAGGACAACTGTCCTAGTTTTAGCAAAAAGTATCAGCTCGGCACCTGTAGCTCAGTGAGTAGGGTACCAGCCACATATACCAAGGCCGGCAGTTACAAGCCCAGCCTGGGCCTGCTAAAACAACAATGACAACTTGTGGCAGGCACTTGTAGTCCCAGCTACATGGGAGGCTAAGGCAAGAGAATCACTTGAGTCCAAGAGTTTGAGGTTGCTATAAGCTGTGATGCCACAGGACTCTATCAAGGGCAACAGAGTGAGACTCTATCTCAGAAAAAAAAGTCAGTATCATGGCTGTGCACAGTGCCTCACACCTGTAATCCTAGGACTCTGGGACACCAAGGTGGGTGGATTGCTTCAGCTCAGGAGTCCAAGACCAGCCTGAGCAAGAGTGAAACCATCTCTACTAAAATAAAAAAATTAGCTGCGCCTGTGGCAGTTGCCTGTAGTCCCAGCTACTAGGGAGACTGAGGCAAGAGGATCTCTTGAGCCCAAGAGTTTGAAGTTTCTGCCAGTTACCACACCACAGGGGTACTCTAGCCTGGAGCAACAGAGTAAAACAGTATCACATTTACCTGGCAGGGTAGATACCATAATCACAAAGGTAGTTTTTCCAGGATGAAGCTTATCAGTCACACTCAGGATATGCTGACCCCTGAGATTTCTCTAAATATGGGAAACTCAACTGCATAATTTGTGGTAGAAGGGGACTGAGTTATCTGCTGTTCTAATAAAAGAAGGGGTTTTTTAATTGCATGTTTAAAAAAAGTCAGTACACACATATTTTTTAAGGCATGTCTAAATTATAAAAATCTAAAGAAACCCTAATAACCAACTGTAATATATGAAGTTTGAATTGGGGAGAGATTTGGGAAATGTTAGTATGGACTGGTTTTTAGATGAAATTAAGGAAATACTGTAGTTTTTCTTAGGGGTGATGATGTAGTTATTCAGGGGAATGTTCTTTGTTTTAGGGGATGCATGCTGAACAATTTTGAGGTAAACAGTTGCAATATCTGCAATTCTTTTTGTATGTTTCAGATGAAAAATACAGGGTGGACATAAAGTTCGTGTGCAATTAAGATGTTAAACTATTTTAAATTGCACATGAACTTTATGTCCACACTGTATAGATACAAATATATATTAAAATACATGGCAAAATATGAATAATTGCTTGAGTGGCATGTAAGAGTATTTGTCACAGTTTTCTGAATGCTTTGGAAATTTTGTAACAAAAGTTGGAGGGATTTGTTTTTAAAAACTGTTCATAGATGTGTATTAATCTTTTGCTCAGAAACTTTACATTTGGGGGCTGGGTACAATAGCTCATGCTTGTAATCCCAGCACTTTAGGAGGCTGAGACAGAAAGGATTGCGTGAGGCCAGAAATTGAAGATCAGTCTGGGCAACATAGTAAGACCTTGTCTCTACCAAAAAAATTAAAAATTAAAAATTACCAGGGCATAGTAGTAGAAGCCTATAGTACCAGCTGCTTGAGATGCTGAGGCAGGAGGGTCACTTGCATCCAGGAGTTCTCGGTTAGAGTGAGACGTAATTGCCCCTGGACCCTGCACTCCAGCCTGGATGACAAAGCAAGATGATCTCAAAAAACCCCAAAAAACCAATTTTACCTTGTGGCTTTAAAATGCTCTCTTTGTATACACACAACTTTCTTTATAAAACTATCTGTAGCAACTCAGATTGATGACAACCACCACATTATGTAAAATAGTTTATATAAGTTTCCAGTCAGAAAACTCATGGGAAAAAAAGTGATGTTCTTCTATGAATCAGTGGGAAATTACTGCTCTCTAATTGAAGAATACCTAACTTGGTGGAATGGGGATTTTTGGTCTCAGCAGGTCAGATTTTCATTTCTTGATTTTGCCAATAGAAACGGCAAAAGCAAAACTCTGAATATAATAAATAGGAGCTTATGGACACATAAAAGAAGGCAGGCACAAAAATTATTCCCTAAACCCCCATAACATTTATGACCAGTAGCATAAAGAAACTGCAAGAAATGTATGTTACCAACTTTGATTAAAGTTGCGAAGCTATGCCGGCCATTTCCTATCTGCATACAAGACAATATCAGAGAGAATTAGGTAGTAGCAATCTATTCAGTCCAGAAGTAAGAACCGAATTAGCTAGAGATAGAATGAAAAATACTTTTATATCATTTGCTCTCTAGACATTTTTGAGATATGATTGGTCAATACTGATTTCTATTTGTATTAAAATAAAAATAATGTAAAGTTTTTATTAAAATGTACAAATACTTTAAAAATATATATATTTTTAACTTTTATTTGGAAAATGTACATATAAAAATCTACAATGAACTTCACATAGAAAATTTTAATTTGATCTCTTTGTGGATGACAGCCAGGATAACCGCTGCCACCTAGTGGACTGTAACTGAATTACAAGAAAAGCCTGAGGTGAAAGAGTAAGGGAGATGGTTAACATCCAGTTTACAGAAATTCCTTCTAAATCACTTTCCTTTGGTGATCTCTACAAATGCTGAAAAAAGTATATGACAAAACCCAAAACCAACTTCAGAGATCAAAAAAGCACTCAAGAGTATAGGAATAGGCTGAGAGTAGTGGCTCATGCCTATAGTTCTAGCACACTTATAGGCAGATGTAGGTGAATTGCTTGAGCTCAAGAGTTTAGGACCAGCCCGAACAAGACCTTGTCTCTACTAAAAATAGAAAAACTAGCAAGGTGTTGGCAGACACGTGTAGTCTCAGCTAATGGGGAGGCTGAGGCAAGAGGATCACTTGAGCCCAAGAGTTTGAGGTTGCTGGTTGCTGTGAGCTATAATGACACCATTGCACTCTGTCCAAGGCAACAGAGTGAAACTCTATCTCAAAAAAAAAAAAATAGGAAGGGTATAATGAATATTTTCTTAATGTAATAAAATATATACCTTAGTTGTAAAGGCAGCATTTCATAGATGACATAATAATATCTGCAAAATCTTAGAGAAACAAAGAAAAACCAACAAAGCAATTAAAACTCTCAAGTTGCATGATAGAAAACTAACATACAGAAATCAGTATCCTTGAGGTATACTCATAGTAACCAGTTAGAAGATAAAAGAGGAAAAAGGCCTATTTGCAATAGTAATAAAAAAGATAAATTCTAAGAAATAAACTTAACAAGAAATGTGCAAAATCAATATGAGGAAGATATTAAAACACTCCTAAGAGGGCAGCACCTGTGGCTCAAAGAGTAAGGAGCCAGCCCCAAATACTGGAGGTGACGGGTTCAAACCCAGCCCTGGCCAAAAAAAATATACTCCTAAGATACAAAAATAATAAATTTGAACAAATGGAAAGACACTTTATGAACAGGATCATTCACATTAAAACAATGTCTGTTCTTCCCAGGTTAATTTACAAATTAAATAAGATTACCCATAAATATACCAATAAGCTTTTTTGAAACTAGATAAGTTGATACTAAAGTTTATATGAAAAAATAAATGTGCAAGAATAGCTTTTCTAAAAATCTGAAAAGGAAGAGCTCTTAGAAAAGAATACCACTACCAGATACTGAAATATATATATATATATCATAAAATCTCTATAATGAAAGTTTAGTATTAATACACGAATAGACAGATCTGTGTAAAAGAATACAAAGTCCAGAATCAAGCCTAAGTATAAATGAAAATTTAGAATATGATACCAGAAACTCATATGACATCTAAAAGCAAACCACTGGTACAAGTATGACCAGTTAATATATAGCTATGAAAACAACTTGATAGCCATTTTGAAAAAGACAAAATTGGATCCACACCCCAAACTATTCACGAGAATAAACTCCCAATGGATCAGAGATCTTAATATAAAAAATGAAACTGAATCATATAAATACTAGAAGAAATCAATGGCAAATTCCTTTATAACTTGTGGAAAGGCTGTTTAACTAATATTCCACATCCAGATTCAGTAAAAGAAAATACTAATAAATTTGACTACATAAAAATAAAAAATTTTCACATGACAAATAAAAACCACCAAAAGCAAAGTTAAATGGAAAATCGCTGAGAGAAAACATATTTGCAACATATATCACAGATAATGGGCAACATACCTAATATATAAATTATTTTTAGAAATCAAAGGAAACAAAGACCAAAAATCCAATATGAAAATGTGCAAAAGACATGAACACACTGTTACATGAGATAAGGAAAAAGCTATAAAGGTGATAGGCTATGTCCTGATAGGTTACAAGCAGAGTTACTGAGACCACCACTTCTCTTTTATTAATTAATTATTTTTTTGGAGACAGTCTCACTTTGTCACCCTGGGTAGAGTGCCATGGCATCATAGCTCACAGTAACCTCAAACTCTTGGGCTCCAGCGATTCTCTTGCCTCAGCCTCCCAAGTAGCTGGGACTACAGGTGCCCATCAGAACACCAGGCTAGTTTTAGAGATGGAGGTCTCACCCTGGCTCAGGCTGGTCTCAAACTCCAAAGCTCAAGCAATCCACCCACCTTGGCCTCCCAGAGTGCTAGGATTACAGGCCTGAGCCACTGGACAAGCCCACCATTTCTCTTTTAATAACAAGATAAGTAACAGCAAGTATCAAGGGCTTTTGATGTCATGTTATTTTAAAACACCTCTGAGGGGTACTTAACTGAAAATAACTGAAAGAGTTAGGAAGCTGTGATATAGTCTAAACACTATAACACAGGGTTAGTTTTTTACAGGGTTAGTTTTATCAAAGATTAAAAACAATTGGAGCCTTAGAGATAGTACCAAATTGTATTTGTGAGTTTACATTTCTTTATATCTGGCCTTAAAAGGGACTAAGTGTACATGTCTTTGAAAAAAATATCTGTTCCTATTTGCAACTTTTCACAGCATTATAATCTCCTGAAGCAATGATTTCTTGTTAATAGTTGGGATGTACACTTCCCTGCAACCACGGAATCCTATGATCCTATAATTCAGTGATAGCCCAATGAGGCAAGCATAACAAAGATGCCATTGACCACTTGGTGGCAGTATATCTTATTGCATGTAAAGTTCTTAGAAGGTAATGGACAGTTTGCTAACAAATTAGAAGATAATTTATGAAGACATTTCATGAAGTTCACAAGAGACCTTAGTTAGAAAAATGAGGTCAATGCTTAATATCCTTTAAAAGGGCATTAGAAGCAGGGGAAAACATAGCCTGTCTTTGTCAAACTTATTTATGGATACACTCTAGAAAATTCTATTAGAAAAGATCTCTGGAGCTAGAAAACATCCAGAAAAAGAGGAAAACTGCTGACATAGTAATGATCACTAAAAATACATAAAATGAAAGGAGGATTTTGTTAATAAGATTAAGAACCCTCTACTGCTTAGCCATCTGAACTTGAACAAATCCATTGCATTTTCAGGGCTTCGCTTTCTTTGCCTGAATGGTGGGCTAGGTCAAGGGTCAGCAATTTTTTTCTGTAAAATGCCTGATAAATATTTTAAGATTTGCAGGCCTTACACTGTCTGCTGCAAGTACCCCTTCACTGTAGCATAAAAGCAACAATTGGTAATATATAAACAAATAAGCGTGGTGTGTGCCAACAAAACTTTATGTCTGAGCATTAAGATTTGAATTGTGCACAGTTCCCACATGTCATGAAATACCATTCTTCTTTGATATTTTTTCCCAAATTATTTAAAAATGTAAAACTCATTCTTAGCTCAAGGGCCATTAAAAAA